GTGACTGCAGGTGTGTGGCTTGTTTTAAAAGCACCTGTCTCTCCACACTCATTTGTCGCTACTCCCTCACCTGTCATGTGTGTTCACCCTGTGAAGCCCTGCCAGTGTGCCTTTGGAGTTGAACATTCAGCTCCCTCTGCTGAGGCCTTGAGTTCCCCTTATCAACGTGGCAAATCCCAGTCCTGGTTTATCCTCAAGACTCTGCTGAGTAAACACCTCCTCTAAGGAAGCCTTCCCCACCTTCCCCTTCCCTTCCCCCTGTGCCCACAGAAGTCTTTTCACTCTTCTTGCCTGACACCCGTCTCCCTGTGTGGAAACGTTGGTGTACATGCCTGCTCCACCAGAGCAGTGCTTCTGTCCTGCACATCACTGTTCCTGCCTGGCATTTGGTGATCACTTAGTAAATATTTGACAAATGAGTGAGTGAATGAATTAATGTATACATTTTTAAGAAGGAGTGAAATGCATGTTCAGATCTCCATTTTAGGAAGGAAAAGCTTGCCAGCTGTGTGGAACAAAGATGAGAAGGAGGAGAGACTAGCAGTAAGGAGTCCAAGTTAGGAGCGAGATGACAAAAACACGAGCTGGGAGTGTAAGAAGTGTTTCCGAGGAGCCGATCGTTAGCAGAGGGAAGAAGGTGTAAGAGGGGTAGACTTCTGGGGGAACAAAATGAGTGGGTTTTCTTGAGATCATCAAGGGACAGCTGGAGATTCAAGTAGACAGAAATTCTGGTTCAGAAATGTCTGGGCTGGAGGTACAGATTTCGAAGTCGCCTGTGCATGATTGTATGCATGTGAGCAGGTAGCCCGAGGAGAACAAATTGAAGGTGAGGGGAAAGGAAACAAAGATTTACTGAGTACCTACTATGTGCCAGGCACTGGCATTTTCACATTGACTCCTTAAGATAGCGTGCCAGAACCTCCTTCCTCCTCACTGTCTCATTATTTAACCCTCCAGGGATACCACTTGGCCTGGAACTGTGAACAAACCTCTTGTTCCTGTAGGTCCATCTGCCTGGCACACTCTTCTTTGTCCTTCAGAATAACACCCACCTATTTTCCTAGTCTCTGTTGATTCCCCACTCCAGTCCCAATTCATTTGTCATGCTTCTGCTGGAGTGGCCTTTTAACAATACATGGACATGATACCAGCCCACAGAGAAGACCCTGTCTGTGGCAGCTGTCCCCTTGCCGTCTGTTTGAGATACCATACACTTCTCTGTGTTCTGTAATTTTCTTGAAGACTGCAGGAGATTCGTCTGGAAGTTCTAAAAGAGCTGCTGAGGAAGCGTGAAGAGAATCAGAATGAAGTGAACATGAAGAACTTGAATGCCCAGTGGTCTAAACTGCAGGAAGCAAAAGAGGCAAAATTAGCCCAGATCCAGCACTCATATATGTCAGGTAATGGTGCGGTATGAGCAGGGAAGACAGTGAGTAAGTGGGCTTTGCTTTGGATGTTTGACCAGACCTGATTTAACTATGACATAATTCTGTTTTGGTCCTGGTGTATCAAATAGGTAAGGGATGAGAGAGATGAGTCATTTCACAAAGGTAGAAGAATGGAGGAGAATCCCTTACTAAGAAAATCAAGTGACAATGTTGTAACAGGTCGTCAAGTTATTGACATTATAGTGTGTGTGTGTGTGTGTGTGTGTGTGTGTGTGTGTGTGTGTGTGTGCAGGTGTTGGGTTCCCCATATTCTAGGGCCAATGCCTTGGATAAAGAGCGCTGTTACTCAATCTTTTTTTTTATTATTGTCCCCTAAAGGAGATATTTTAGACGTCCTTTTTCCTAATAACTCCCCTCCAAGAAATTTTAATGCCACAGATATATTGTATATATGTTTATGTACTATACGTATATTTGTACTTTATACCTAAAAAGAGAAAGCATATGATTTATTCTTTTTGTTCAGTGCAGGATTACAAATGAATAAATTAAAATTTCAGTTAAAATTTATACAGAAAACATTTAAGTTATTAACATTTAACTAAATTTTATAGCTTTATTTGGCCAAGAAACTTAATGTAATTTATTTACTTACAAAAATTGTATCAATTACACATGTAAATTAACTATTTATATACATACTTTTATTAGCAATATAACCACATTTTAAAAAAACATTCAAAACTGTTATTTCTCCAGCAATTTATTATGGCAGCACAATTCACTATTGCAAGAATGTGGAAACAACCCAAGTGCCCGTCAATCCATGAGTGGATTATCAAAATTTGGTATATGT